CATAGTTCTAGGCAGCACAGAAGTGCAGCAGAGGCTAATCTGGCTGAAAACGGAGGAGACAAACAGTGACCTCCCTGCTCCTCCCAGATGCCAAGAATCTTGACTTTGTCCTTGAAAAAACCTTTGCTTTGATTCAAGGCCACCACACCTCCCAGCGGAGTATGGTGGCACCGGAGAGAAGTGGAGATCTGAGCTTTCAAGGTCTCATACGTGCACACGAGCTGCTGAGCCCTCGATGGGCACAGCCTCTTGAGCCTCCCGGAATCCTCCGCACCCAAGCAGCAGAATCACTCTTTCTCCACACAGATGTCTTTACATCCTTGCCCCAATGCGTCCATCCCCAGCCCAACATCTCTTTTGCCTTCTGCTCTCTCAGGAGTAGCCACAGCGTTTTCCTCCAGAATGCTTTTACTCTGGCCCTCTCAGATGTTTAAAAAGCCCCTCTCTAAGCTTCCTCCTAGGTCCCTCATATTTAGTAGTGAGTTGTGCAGCAGCTGAACCAACGACAGTAAAGAGACAAGGTTGCTCCTGAAACTAACATCTCTGGCCTCGCGAAATTGTGATGAACCATTTGGAAGTCATCACTGCCAGTCACAGGACACCCACTTTAAGAGTGACTATTTCTCTCTTCTATGTGCAATTATAGTTTGTCCCTAGAAGATGACTCATCTCTGATGGTAGCAACTGCACAAGGATACAGCCAATTAGCCACGAGCTTTAAAAAGTTTTAACTTGCTGGGCATGGTGGCTCACACCTGCAATAATCCCAGCACTTTGGGAGGCCAAGGCAGGTAGATTTGAGACCAAGAGTTTGAGACCAGCCTGGGCAATGTGGTGAAACCCTGTCTCTACAAAAAATACAAACATTAGCCAGGCATGGTGGCATGAGCATGTGGTCACAGCTACTGGAGAAGTTGAAGTGGGAGGATCCCTTGAGCCCAGGAGGTCAAGACTGCAACGAGCTGAGATAGTGCCACTGCACTCCAGCCTGGAGGACAGAGTAAGACCCTGTCTCCAAAAAAAAAAAATTTAGGCTAGGTTTATGATGGACTAGTTTTAATCGTTTTTGAACTTCTAAGAGGTGGATACATAATTCTTATTTTTTAGCCTATGTCTTTTATTTATTTTATTTTTATTTTTATTTTCTTATTTTTTGAGATGGAGTCTTGCTCTGTCGCCCAGGCTGGAGTGCAATGGCATGATCTCGGCTCACTGCAACCTCCGCCTCTTGGGTTCAAGCGATTCTCCTGCCTCACCCTCCTGAGTAGCTGGGATTATAGGCACCTGCCCTCATGCCCGGCTAATTTTTGTAGTTTTGTAGAGATGGCGTTTCACCATGTCGGCCAGGCTGGTCTTGAACTCCTGACCTCAGGTGATCTGCCCACCTTGGCCTCCCAAAGTGCTGGGATTAGAGGCGTGAGCCACCGCGCCCAGTCAGCATATGTCTTTTAGATTCTGGGTACAACCAAGAGAAGCTATTCCAGTTCTTTTGTTTTGAAACCAAATTTGCTAGGATTCTGATCGTCAGTGGACAAAATGGATCCTTGTGGCTCTGAACTTGTATTTGAGATATGCTTAAAACAAAGGCTGGGTCTACTGAGAAAGCAGCTCATAAACATTTCCCCTGGAGAACCAACTTGAGAAACCCCATTTTTTCTTGTCCTCTTTTCCCTGTATTCTCTTTACCTTTCTCTCACCCATCTCCTAACAGATTCAAGATCAAGACTGCTTGAATAGGATCAAAGGGTAAAGCTAACTAAAACAAAGGGAAATTGAGTTCACTGTGAAATATGCTGCTGCTTTTCTGATTTTGCCAGGTAACACCAATTTTGGAGGCCCAAATAGAAACCAACCTTTCTGGATGGTGTGCCTTTACTAAGATTCTAGAGCTGGTGCTCCAAAGGGAAGAGGGTACTTCAAGTTGGAGAGACATTTTTTAGCCATTTGGAGACTGGAGTCTTCCTCATGGTCAAGAGGAAGTAGCAAATCACTTTTTCAGAGTTTGCATGCTGCCCTCTCCTGGCCTGTATGGACAGGAGTGTTACAGTACATCAAATGCATTTATTTTAATTCCACACCTGTGTGGGATATACCTAAGAACACAAGAGAGTTTATTTAAAATATTCAGGATGTCTCATCAAAAATGTATACTTGAAGCTAATCAAAAATGTATATCCGAAGCTAATTAGAGGAAATACATTCATTTTCATTTTCCTTTGGCTCCAGGATTTATACTGAAGCATGTCAATCTTTATGTCATCTCACTTTATACCCTTGTGGCTTCCACCCGCTCACTTTCCAACCTCTTAACACCCATGTGGCTCTGGGACTCTGTTCTGCGAATCGGTGCCCCAACACCGTCTGCGTCCCGTCAATGTGCTGGCCACTTAAAGACATCTTTCCAAGTAGAAGTGGTGGTGATAGGAAATCTGCTGAAGTCATTGGTCAGTGTTGAGTCTGAGGACCACATTTCAGCCTGACATGTGATCAAAATTAATTCTAGACATGATTAGATCCATTATACCGAATATTATTAGAAACAAAAGAACTATCAAGAAGCAGCTAATCCAAGAAGTGGATGGCACCATAGGTCTAATTTTTCACTGAACACCTTGTCCTTCAAAACAATGTCTTTCTTGTGGGTGCTTTATGTGACCCATTTAAGTCCAATGCTGGGCATGTTTTCCCTGGTTGAAATAATTCTTTTTTTTCCCTAGATAGTTGAAGGGCCCTGATACTGAGAACACGCCTGCAACCTGGCACATCGCACAGGGGCAATTTGCTGTAGGAACACCGAAGTACAACAGTGACTGAACTAATCTGTCCTATGCCTGTGCCTCTGCAGTCTCTCAGTGTCTGCCCTTGACCCAGACAGGCCAATCCTCTCCATATCAATAAGAACTGAGAGTCTAATACCATTCCTTTGCATTAGAAAAAAGGGTGTTTACTTTAAAGAGATTTAAAGACATGTACCTTGTTTAAACTTTACCAAACTTATAACTCGAGGGTATGTAAAGCTCTGGCTGGCTCTAGTAAGATTCATAGAGAATGAACTGTTGATTACCTCTCTCAATGAAGAATGATAGCACAAAGCAATGAATAATCACAGCATTGTTTATATTTATCTTTGAAAAACCTTCAGTGTCTCCTAGTCTATACAAAGTGAATATAATCAGTCTCACACTCACAAAGTTGCTACCAACACACCCAATATTGCTTTAGAGTTAGAAAGGTAAGAGGGAAATAGATCCCAACCTATTACATCTATTTTATTTATAAAAGATGGACGAATGCTCACAATCATACAAAACAACCCTTTACTGATAGAATGTAGTTGGGTCGATTAACTTATATTTATTTGAACAGCTACATTATTTACAGTTTCTTTCTGATATAAAAGGAAAAAAGTATTCCTCTATAAAATCAAAATGCCTTCTCCTAAACATAGTATTCACTTGCCATGTCTATACTTTGACACGATTTCAAAAAACACTCTATAAAATCATTCAGATCAGTCAATGGGCAAAAACTATGAAGTTTTCCTGACTCCGTGCGAGAGCTAAGCATGCATTTCCTTTAATGACAGAAAGAACATGTTCATCTTATAAGAAATAAAAAACAAACAAACAAAAAAGGTCTATATAAATTCTCCACTGTGATACACAACACAAATACCTTTCTTATAACTTCCTTATCTTCCTTGGTCGGGCACATGTCTTGGGACAAGGGCTACCTTGAAAACTAAGCACTGCTGAATGGTGAGTCGATTGTAAATTATCAGTCAATGGTTTGGCTATGATCGACTAAGACTCCACCGGGAAGAGTGTTATTTAGACGGAAGGTAAGGTATTTGATTGCCCCTGCACCTGCTGCAGAGCCATTCTCTGGCTGTACTGGAGTTCCAATCTGTTCCACTGCAGAAAAAGCGCTTTTCATAGGGATTCAAAGCCACATGAATACCAGCCAGCCCTTGAAGACTGCAAAGCAAGACCGATTTTTAAACTGAGACTTCATGCAGTTCCCTCTGGCTTTTCCCAGGAAAAACTGAACTCATTAAGCAATGCTAATTTAAACACAAGTAATCAACGGGGCGGGGGAGGGGGGAGTTATATAACCACCTTTAAAATTTCAAATCAAACTTGATAAAATCTTAGGAAATAGATTTTTTAAAAACAAAACCCACACCTCAAAATTTAAAAAAAAAGAAAAAGAAATAGAAGTCTATGAGTTTTAGGATCAAATAAAATAAAATCAAACATCAATATTTTCATACGACTATCACATCTACTAGATAGTTCCAATTCATGACTTTTTAATGTAGTAATACATGAGATCCTGGAACTGATCCTTCCTGGCGTGCAGAATACAAATGCATTTTTCAACTCGTAAGACAATGTAGAAATAAGTCAGGTACACAGGATCACTGACAATCACATTAAAAAATATCTACCTCCCTTCTGTCTTCTCCAACCACAGCATAGTGATCGTAGTGATATTTCACTCATGAGGCGAGTGCACCTTGGCCATATGTTTTAAAAAATCAGAACTCTGCCGAAGTCCGCTGTGGTTCTTATTCCTGTAGGGTGGATATTAACCTGATAGGTAGGTGGGAGAGGTTCATAGCCCGCTTTCTAACAATCGGGTGGTGCTTGCCTCGCTATAGGCATGATTAGAATGGCGGTCTCCAAGAGGTATTTATTGGCGGTATGACAACATATTGGTATGGATGTTATTTAAAAGAGAAAGAAAGAGCGATCACGGTCAAGTTTGAAGGTCCTTATTTTACACCCCCGCATAATTCAATAGGTGAATAAACCTTGTGGCCCCAAAACACACGCCAACAGCTTGAATTACCCGGGGTGAAACCGGCGAGACCTTCACTCGGGGCTTTCTGTCCTGACCGGCCACGGAACAAACCACGTCAATTCATTCCAAGTGCCCAGTGAAGGTAGAAATCAGAAACCTTGCCTGTGTCACGTTAGTCGTGACAAGCTGCGTACCTGCAATGACGTGACGGAAGCCTCCTCCTCGGGTCCCTTCTCTCTCTCTCTCTCTCCCTCTCCCTCTGTCTTCTCTGAGTTCTCTAGCGCGCAGCGGGGTCTAAGTTTGGTCTCCCGCCGCCGCCTTCAGTTCCACCGCAGCCGGCCGGCCTGCAGCAGACGCCCATAAGAGAAGCGCGCCGGCTGAGGGTGCAGGAGAGGCGAGAGCGCGCCCCGCGCCGCGCGGTCCCAGGCTGGCTGCTCCTGCAGATGTGAAAGGAGCCCGGAGACTTAGCTCTGAATCCTCTCGGCGCTGCATGGGGATATTATCACAGTCTGGGATTTCTATTGGCTCTGAACACCAAACAAATCACACCAGCCACCCCCCTTCTCTGTTTCACTCAGCGCTTGTTTCTCATCTAACCCACAAACATTGCAGCCACACCACACACTTCAGTCGCTTGCAATGTTTCTCTTTTCCTCCTTCCAGTCAGTGGATTTACAACCCTGTGGTCAGCTCTAACATTTTTTTTAGCAGACTTCCAATTCTAACCTTCTTGTTTATGTGGAGAAATTCTCCCTCCATCCCCTAAACCAGAAAAAAACAAAAAACAAAAAACAAAAAACCCCACTCATTCCCTTCAGATCTTCTTCCTTTTGTTGATGGATTTGCAATGTGAAGAATGTAGAAAGCCGGTGTGTGATATGTCTGACATTGTCACACACACACATACACGTGCGCTTACACACACACACACACACACAGACACACACACACCAGGCTCCTTTTGTTTGCAATAACTGAGGCCAGTGAAATAAAAAGCAAGCTGAGCCTAATAACCTAAGTGAGAGCTTAACTAATAAAATCTTGAATGAATTCAGTGCAAAACACTCATTGCTTGAGTTTGTTTTCTGTTCCAAATAGTACTTTGGTCATTATTATCCTGATTATTGTTTATTGAATGCAGAGGTTTCTAATGCAAATCAGACTCTTCAACATCCAGAGAACATAAAACAATGACGCCAGACCAATTCTTATGCTTCATGGGTTTGGGGCATTATATCAGAAGCGTACTGTGACGCCTGCGTGCTTGCTCTTTTTATTATTTTTTGAACTACTCGCCACTGATCATCGCAGGACTGAGACTCCCTTAGTGTGATTCACTAGCCAAAGAAGACTATTCAGACTCTGCTGATAGAGGTCCCTGGATGAATTTTTTTTCTCTGTATGTGTCAATAGAGATAAACCTTTGGCCCCTTGGCAGGGAAAGGGCCCAAGAAAAATCTGAGATCTTACAAACTTGGCTGGGGAAATTCAGAATAAAATAAAGTCTCACTGTGTCTTATAAAACAGACCCTCCCTTAGACTTTTCCCCAAAATCCATTTCACTGGTGCTTATGGAAATTTTAATGACAGTTATTCTTGACAAGAAGCCATTGCTTCTGAAATCTCTGAGCTCTGTTTCGATTTTTGACTTGAAATTTTTTTTGTAGTGTTATTCCTCTTGTATACTATTTGGTATTTGATATTCTAGTTCCAACTCAACTCACAGAACGTTGTGTTGCAAATTCACAGGAAATAACAATTAGCTCTTGAAATATATTATCACCAAACAGACTACCTGCCTTCTTTTCTTACGTGGGCACATTCCAGGAATTGTGAAATGCAGCCTTATTTTCAGAATGGGTCAGCCTGAAATCAGCTGAAATTGACAAAGGAAATACAAAACAAAACCACATTTAGCTGTTGGTTCCTGCTAACCACAGTCTAACCTCAACTGGCATATCCTTATTACTTTAACAACTCCAGTTCATTCCCTTTCTTTAGGTAGGCAGCTAAAAAAAAAATACTGTCATAAATCTTTGAATGTGTAGAGTGTAGTTCTTCTGAAGATCTTGACAGTCTTAGAAAAAAAGGAGTTATAGGCATGATATTCCAGCTTTTCCAGATGGAGAAACAGAGTGGAGGAATGATAAAGTGACTTGCTGAAGGCAGACAGCAACTAGAGCTGGGAGAGTGGATGACTGCCCCATTTGTTCATACCAACTCTTCGACTCAAAGGAAAGCAAAGGGTTAACACAGCTGACTCTCATTCCTGCCTGCCTTTTCACAGAAGAGCTAACAATTCATGAAATCATCTGTCCAACTTGGTAAATAGTCATTTATGTTATTTCAGAACAGGTCATGATATTTTCAGATAAGTTACCAATAATTTGCCTTAGAATTGCCTTTCTAGAAAAGAGAGAAACAGTGACTGATAAAACCATTACATTTTCTGCTTGTTATTTTCAGGGCTCATTACAGCTCTTCATATCACTGAAAAGACAGTGTAAGTGAAATTGTGGATGACTTAAAGTCACAGATCTATCTTAAACTTCATTTTAGATAACAATTCAAGCCCTCTGTCCTTCAGTTAAGGAAGAGCAAAACTGGATGATTTAAAGGACATCTCCTATACCCAACCAGTTGTGTGGTTAAGGGAAAATAAATCATCAGTGTTTATTCTTCTACATTTAGTCTTTTGGTCATTTTACTACCTTTAGAAGAGTTTTTCAAAGACATTTCTTAAATCCTTTATAAATGACCCAGACGTTGGTAATAATAAAAACTCTTGCATCTCAGCATGCACACTAGCGGACAGCCAGGAAGATTCGTGGCAGAACCATCATTTTATTTTCCACTTATTCAGCCACATCAGGATCATCCTGCTTAGTTCAGCGTGGCACTTTTTACAGGAGACATTCACAAATTGGCATGTATCCAAAGGAGTTGATAAGATGATGATTCTGAATATTATAATTCATAAGAAATGCAAGAGAGAATTAGGCATCTTGGAGCAGGAACTGAGGTGAAAATGATAACATTTTCAAACAGTAAAGGTAAAAGAGGAAATATGTTTATTATTCATGTAAGGCTTCAAATGTATTGTCATTTTTGTAAACATTTTCTTTCTTGATTTTTTAAACAACTCTATGAGGAATGTAGGATAAATCCTACTAGGCTAATTTTACAGATTGAAAACGTTTGTATAGTAAAGTCACCCTGATGTAGTCATAGTTATGATGCCAGAGGTTGGGAATAAGTTGAAGTGGACCCGAAACCCAGTGCTGTTCTGGAGAGAAAATAAGGGTGGGCAAAAATCAGGAGAGTGAAAGGCTTCTCAAAGTTAAAGCTTTCGGAAACTGAAAGAATTGGCTGGCAAATTGATGATTTGGAGATTTTGATACAGGTCAATGAAGTGGTCAAGAAAAGGACTCTCAATTATTTGGGGAGATTATGAAGGGATTGTTATAAAGGTAAGACTAAGTAACCTAGGGTTTACTTCAGCTCGAAATCATCTTTGAAGCTATTATTGGCTTTTAATATATTACAGAATAATTTATAATTTCATTGAATAATTTTCACAGTATGTCATTAAATTTTTAAAAAGATTATGATTATGATCTAAGTATATTTCTGAACTATAGATGACCACAGATGGCCTTTTATCCTTCTTTTGACATATCTGTGTGCTCTGTGATGAATACGTATAATTTGTAAAAAGAAAAAAAATTTAAAAAAAACAAAAAGAAAAAGTAGAAGAGCTTATAATTCTTCCTCCAGTATACAAAGATACAAGATTTCCATATGACTAGTTTGCTGAAGACTGAACATTGCGTTCCCAGTGTGATAAGCGTAAGATCACATTCTTGATCTTGTCTGTACCTATTCATGTGTTTTCTTTCTAGCCTAGGTTGGACGGCATTCTAATGCTAATGTTTTCCCCTTGGTTATCTCTTTATTTATCTTAACAGCTTCCTTTTAACCTATGGATTTATTGATAAACCCATACACACTTGTTTTGTCCTTTGATAGCTATAATTCTTTCTTAGATTATCATAGTCTACATTTTAAATTGTTAAAATGATTTTGATGCACGAAGTTTGTAAATTCTTCAATTTACTGATTATTAAATAATTATTCCTCCACCGTACAAGAAACCTTTATTTTCTACAAAGTCATAAACTTTGTTTATTCATACTGTATGTCTACATCAAAACCTCAAAATGAAATCTATATTTATGATTCACTGATATATATGACTCTATGCTCTTATGGTTCACAAATTTCAACTGTTCACATGTATTAAATAACATTTATCTCTCTTGTGTCACGGTGATTCTACCCAGAATATATGAGTGATTTATAAGAGTTTTATAGCAAAATATATAGATCTCACTGTGTCACAGAATAAACTCCTTGTCCATGAGAGTGCCATCTGTCATGTTTGTGTCACCCCAGTGGAGCAGAGAGCACAACCCACAGAGGAGCTGGGGAGATTAATAGGACAGGGAATGACCACGTATTCAGCTCAATCTCTACATTTTCCCTTAAGACCCAGGGAGCAGGTGGCTGTGGGTTTTTTTGATTCATTAGCCCATGCTTATTAGATGTCAGCAAGGCCTCTGCGCTGTACTCTGACTTCTGAGATATGGATGGGAAGAGGTGAAGAGGGCAAAACGAGAGTGAAGAGAAGGCAGAGCCACCTTTGACCTGCAAGTGCTGATGACATCATATAAGCAGTGAACGCAGGAGATGGTTAAACTAAGATTCAGATTGACAAATGTAGCTGAAGGAGTGGCCAGAATGGCTCCACCATGGCACCTGCCACTTCTTTAGCTCTTTCCCAGACCCGATAGGCCAGATGAGGAAGGATACCTAGATAGTGTTATAGATAGCTGTAGAAATATCACGTTCATCTGTCCCTACAGCTACAGACATCAGACTAGGAGAGCATGCTGGACTCAAAGGGATCCAATCTGCCACCCATGCAGAGATAATGGGAGTTGACTGTCCATCAGATTTCCCCTTTTGAGGAGATTGAACTAGGGTTATCTATCTATCTATCTATCTATCTATCCATCTATCTATCTATCTATCTATCATCTCTCTATCTGTATCTATCTAACTTTGTCATTTGATAGCAATAACATAAGCTTAAAGAGTCAGAAAATCAAGCCAGGCACGGTGGTTCACATCTGTAATCCCAGCACTTAGGGAGGCCAACGCCAATGGATCACAAGGTCAAGAGTTCAAGCCTGGCCAAGATGGTGAAGCCTCTTCTCTACTAAAAATACAAAAATTAGCTGGTGGTGGTGCACGTCTGTAATCCCAGCTACTCGGGAGGCTGAGGCAGCGAATTGCTTGAACCCAGGAGGTGGAGGTTGCAATGAGCCGAGACTGCACCACTGCACTCCGGAGCGAGACTCCGTCTCAAAAAAAAAAAAAAAAAAAAGTCAGAAAATCAGAGAAGAGAGAGCATACTAGTTATGGTCATGGTTAGAATATGTCTATGAAGATCTAATAGACCTCTAATGTATGTCTTGCATATGAGCAAGAAAAGATGAGTTCCAGTTGTTTAATCATTTTGAGCTTCCACAGGCCCTGACTGTGTTTATTTCCCTTGTTTCTGTGTGTATCCA